GAAGACCACTTCTATCGACCCTCCTTCAAGTACCAGTTCTTTGTGTTTGGAAGGGTTGTTTGAGAAAAGAGGGGAAAACCATGCAAACATACTGCTCAATAAGTTTGGAAGTAGAGGTTTCAGGCCATTTGGAAAACCATCGTTTTGGAGAGTATGTCGCTATTTTCACTTGGGTCTGCCTTTTAGGCGTTGTTTTGAAAGAAGACCGCTGAAAAAGCAAAACATTTGGGGGGGGGTTCAAGATCCCCGGACCCAACGCGGAATGCAAAGGAGCCGTCCGATGGAGAACCGTGAGAAGGGGAAATGTGGTAGACTGCAACAACTGCGTGCTAAACCAACCAACCAACCAAGCAAGCAACCAGCTAGCAAGCCGGCCAGCCACCCAGCCACCCAGCCACCCAACCAACAAACCAACCTTTTTTTTTTGTGCCCGTAAGGAAACCCTGAAGAACCCCCCAAAACAAAAAAAAAAAAAAACAAAAAAAAACGAGAAAACCCTGAGCAAACCCTGCAGAAAGCCTGAAGACAGCCGGACGAAACCCGCCATTTCCCAACAAAAACCCACCCGGCTGCCGAGGGCCCGCCCGTCGCCAAGGCACCCCAACGCCTGGCCCAGTGGAACCTCCTCCTGGCCCAAGGCGCCCTTCACCTGAGAGGCGACCATCTCCACCTCGAGCCGGCACTCAAGTACATGGAGCCGGTACAGCACACATATACATGTATACGTATATACGTATGTATATGTATGTATATGCATATATATATATATATTAGTATGTGGGTTCCAGGCAGATACAACACAGGTTTTGATATACACGTGGTGATATGTGGTTATATGCATTGTATTTAATGGATACACACGTGTCCAGTAGTACGCACACGTATGTGTTTGTATGCATATTATATATTTATATATATATATATATACATGTACCCGTCACACAAAAGTATGTCGATTTACATGTCTTACTGATATTGACCTGAATATGCATGTGTGTACCTTGTATGTATGTATCTACACAAATCAAATCATAGTTCTCAACTGGCCGATCACACTTCTTTTATCATATGTGTAGTCAAATCGATAAATCAATGCAGCAAGGCAAACAACATGTCATCATGTGAATGGTCCGTTGTCAACTTTGTACGTTATTGGCAGGCCGAAACCCCGCACCACCCACTTGTTGTATCACAACTACTGATATCAATATTGAAATCACTACTGGTATGGCAGCTATTTTCATTGCTATTATGCGTGTTGCATAGTTACCATTGCTATCATGTGTTGTCATCAGCATTGTGACACCCACTGCCAACATCGATCAGTTTGCACTTGCTATCAATCATGCTCACAATTGGCAGATCTCGCCAAACTTCCTGCTGTCAAAACGACACGACTTCGCCTAAGCCGGCCAAGCTGTGAAGGGCAAACGGAAGCTCTGCGGCCTCTTAGGAACTCTTGATGGTTGTACACCACAAACACACAAACATGTTATAAATATATAATATAGCTAAGCGCACACACAAACACACGCGCGCAGACAAACAACACACAAGCACACACACAAGCACAAGCACAAGCACAAGCACAAGCACAAGCGCAAGCACAAGCACAAGCACAAGCAAAAGCACAAGCACAAGCACAAGCACAAGCACAAGCACAAGCACAAGCACAAGCACACGCACACGCACACGCACACGCACACGCACACGCACACCCACACCCACACACCCACACACCCACACACCCACACACGCACACACCCACACACACACACACACGCGCACACGCACACGCACGCACACACACACCACACACACACACTTGTGGAATCCCCCCTCTCTCGGTCCTTGTTGTGTCTCATCATTTCTTCTGCGAGGGTCAGGATCAAGCCCAGTGGGCACACTCTAGGTTCGGATCATGCACTTATAATTGTAGCTCAAGTGGAGTTTCGTCATCCTTGGGCCCCACTCGTCAGGGCCACAGACTAGACCCCAGGATGGCTGTGGCCTACTCCACATAATTGCAAAAAGAAAACGGAGATTCCGGACAGCTGGCGCTACCTTGACAAGTCACAAAGAACTCCGATCAGCCCTTGGCAACAGGGATGGACACACACACACACACTTATCTCGAGAGGCTTCACTAGCCGAGATGAAAAACGTAGTCAGTAAAAATGCTTGAATGCAAATGCAAAGCAACAGGTCACAACATCGACACCGAACAGGAAGCAACAGCGACAAACAGAAACCGCAAAAGGAATCAGGAAAGAGGGTCAGGAAATAGGCAGGTACGCCGGATTGATCAAATCCGGTATCCACCGAAATGCCGTAGCTTCATTGGACTGGATAGGCAAATCGGCTCCAGTCCCCCTGCTGCTTAAAGTTTTGCGTCCGTGCTCCAGGACGGTTCACACACACACACAGACACAGACACAGACACAGAGACACAGAGACACAGAGACACAGAGACACAGAGACACAGAGACACAGAGACACAGAGACACAGAGACACAGAGACACAGAGACACAGAGACACAGAGACACAGAGACACAGAGACACAGAGACACAGAGACACAGAGACACAGAGACACAGAGACACAGAGACACAGAGACACAGAGACACAGAGACACAGAGACACAGAGACACAGAGACACAGAGACACAGAGACAGAGACACAGAGACACAGAGACACAGAGACACAGAGACACAGAGACACAGAGACACAGAGACACAGAGACACAGAGACACAGAGACACAGAGACACAGAGACACAGAGACAGAGACACAGAGACAGAGACACAGAGACACAGAGACACAGAGACACAGAGACCACAGAGACACAGAGACACAGAGACACAGAGACACAGAGACACAGAGACACAGAGACACAGAGACACAGAGACACAGAGACACAGAGACACAGAGACACAGAGACACAGAGACACAGAGACACAGAGACAGAGACACAGAGACACAGAGACACAGAGACACAGAGACACAGAGACACAGAGACACAGAGACACAGAGACACAGAGACACAGAGACACAGACACACAGACACAGACACAAGACACACAGACACAAGACACAAAGACACAAGACACAAAGACACAAAGACACAGACACAGACACAGACACAGACACAGACACAGACACAGGACACAGACACAGACACAGACACAGACACAGACACAGACACAGACACAGACACAGACACAGACACGCAGACGCAGACGCAGACGCAGACGCAGACGCAGACGCAGACGCAGACGCAGACGCAGACGCAGACGCAGACGCAGACGCAGACGCAGACGCAGACGCAGACGCAGACTCAGACGCAGACGCAGACGCAGACGCAGACGCAGACGCAGACGCAGACGCAGACGCAGACGCAGACGCAGACGCAGACGCAGACGCAGACGCACACGCACACGCACACGCACACGCACACGCACACGCACACACACACACACACCCACCCACCCACCCACCCACCCACCCACCCACGCACGCACGCACGCACGCACGCACGCACGCACGCACGCACGCACGCACACGCACACACAGGCACACGCACACACAGGCACACGCACACACAGGCACACGCACACACGCACACGCACACGCACACGCACATACCTGCTCCAACACAAGCGCAACACACAACTCACAAACGCAAAAGCAAAAAGACGCACTACCCGCATATTTCCAATCAATATCCATAATTTGCATGCTTAATGGTCCATTCAACGGCTTTCGAAACTGCGAGTCAATCTGATTTCTGTCCATCAATACCAAGCGTCGCAGTCCTCGACTGAGAGCATGGTGTAGGGACTCTTGCCTGGGTACATCATGTTTGCTCCTGGCAGACTCCCAAGAGAACCCCAAAAGGTGCAGGCATCACAGGGGTCAAACAAGGTTAAAGAGTTAAACAACATATTCCGCTTTGGGTCCCCAAGAGACAAGGATGCAATCCGAATCCCGATGGCGAAAAAATACAACACTGGCTCCTGAAAATGGAAATCAAAGGAAACCAGCCATTTTGCTGCCCTGGAGCACAACCGCCCAGTGATTTTTTGGCAATTGGAGCTCCTCGCCGAACGTCTGAAATCTGCAGGCAGCAGCGACACGCAAGGAATTTACCGTACCCACCCACACGGAACACAACTGGGGGGGCTCCTCTAGGCCTTCATGTGGGTTCCATGTTGGCGGGAGGAGCTTTCCTTTGGCTATAGCGGCTTGCCCGGAAGAAGGAAACCCACATCGCCCCGAGTCCTCGTCCAAGCAGACCCCCTCGATTCCGCGATTCCTTGGTTGACCGGCTCTCCGCTGGCCCGCAGAAATTGCTTCGTGTATGCAAGCTAACCAAACGGCACCACACACAAGCACGCGATAACTCTTTCATCCGAGCAGTGCGTTGGTGCCAGGGACTCATCTTCCCCTGTCAGATGTCAAAGGCTGGGTGGGCCCCACCCAACTCACAATCTCAAAAACTGAAGAACGGGTGTGCAGACTGATAGCGCCCGCCCCTGAGCCGGGGCCCGTGGCACCCAGGCCACAGGGGGGTCTGCCACCAGGGGAAGTGAGTCACCCACCGGCTCCGGTCACGGGAGCATGGGTGGGCCCACGCTAAGATCAAATGCATCTCCATTCAGGAGACGCGGGAGAAAAACAAACTCCTCGCAGAGTTCCTGCTTGGGGACCCTGTGCAAAGGGTCGAACCCAGAGAAATCTGGGTGCGTCAGCTCATCAGCCCATTGATTGAATTCTCGGGGCACGTGGTTGGCCGCCAGCGAGCAGCCATGGGTGTGGAGCAGGAAGACCAGCTCCATCAGGATCGCCGCCGTGTAGGGCTTCTTGTGAGCATCGCCATGACGTTGCCCTGATTGCCACTGCCCACCGGGAGTCGGACCCGGGAGGACAGAGGGCCTTGGTGCGTGAGGATCATGTTACAGAGGAAGAGCGTGCCCAGCATCTCCAGAGCCGCAATCCTCCGGTGGCCATCTTCCAGGCCCAAAGTGGCTGGAGCATCGACTTCGCCAGCGGACATGCAGCAGTCGCCCATTGGATGCGACCCAGGGCCTTCTCGATGTCCTTTGAGTGCATCGCCTGCCCTTCCACCATGGTCTGCAAAACCTCCATAACCAGGATGTGTTTGTTGGCGGCCATGAGAACCTGCGGGGTGTTCGGGTGGACCACGAAACCCAGCCACGTGTTAACCTCCGCCAAATGCGTCTTCTTCCAGCTAAGCGGGGTGCCCAAGGCCAGGAGTGTTGCCAGCAGCGCCACCGCCAAGTTTACTGCCCCCTCGCTTCGAAGCAGCCACAGGAAGTCATCGACAAAGACGAAGTTCCAATCCACTTGAGGGAAGAGTGCGTAGAGGACCCTGAGTAGAAGGGCTGCCAGGCACTGGCCATGCCATATGTGCCTACCTTGTTCACCCACCATTCTTCCCCCAGTGAGGCCACCTGGAACCGCCAGTCCTTCCTGAGGACCTTCACTCTCCGGTGGGCCTTGGTGACGTCCGCCTTGAGCAGCACCCACCTGGTGCCCGGCTCCGGCCATAGCCAGCCCCCAGGTGGAGGTTTGAAGACCCCCCTCTCGGGGCCAGCGGCACCCTGAGAGGGGGGTCCCTCCGCAGCTGCCGCATGTAGCCAATGAAGAGCTTGTACCCCATCCAGCACCGTCGGAGCCGTCGTCCTTTCCACCGTCTGGTTCCTGATGGTGTCATTGGCCCCGCCCACCGAGCCATCGTAGATGGTGCGGATCTTGTCCCCCTCGTCGATGCCCGCTAGGGGGCCGGGACAAAGGTCCTCGATTTCGCAGCCACAGCGCGATGCTGCCTCCACCTTAGTGAATGGGGCCCTCTACCATGCCCATGGGGACCTCCTCCAGGAATGTGCCCCGGATGAGCTCGCTGAAGTGATCCGCTGAGGGGTAGTTACCCCTGCCCGTTGGGTGAGGGAGTTCCTGGAACTCCGGCTCCTCCCCTTTCAGCTCCTTCTTGAGTGGCCAGATGCCCGGCGAGGTCAGGGGTGACCCCTTGCTCCAGATCTTGGGGAAACTGGTGGTCGGTTGGCCGTCAGCTGGTCGGCCCCGGCGCCAGAATCTCCCTGATATCCTCCAGCAGGTCCTCCGGGAAGGGATGTGACCCGTCCCCCAACGAGAGCGACTCCTGGAGCCTGTCCCCCCATGGCGAAGTGAGGACACAGATCTTGGCCCCCATCGCTGCTGCTTTGGACAGCGGGTCCATGGGGCCAACCGTCCCAATGAGGGCTTTCCCCCTCCGTCCCTTAGGGGGCGCTGTTTGAAGGCCATCTGGAGGTACATGACCTTGTCGGAGAGATTGGGGTCGTGCGTGATCGGCAGGATGGTGGGCCGATCCGAGATTTCCATGCCGTGGTGTGCCCATGGCTCAGGGGAGGATGAAGGCCCACACTCCGCCAGGCCAAGGCTCTCGCGCGTCGCGTTTCCCTCTATCTACTGGCCCGCAGGCCCTGAAGCAAGCTCTGAGGCGTGGCCTGAAGGGTCTGGGAGTCGTGGCTTTTGGAAGTGTCAATGAGGCGCTTCAGGCTGCGGGGGAGGGCCGTGCCTGGGAAAGGTCATGGAAAAGTGAATTCTGGAGTATTAATGAGGGCCCCACACTCCGCCAAACCAAGGCTCTCGTGCGTCGCGTTTCCTTCTATCGACTGGCCCCGCAGGCCCTGAAGCAAGCTCTGAGGCGTGGCCTGAAGGGTCTGGGAGTTGTGGCTTTCGGAAGTGTCAATGAGGCGCGGCCGGGCCTGGGAGAGGTCATGGAAAATCGTTCATGATCCGTCTCGCCAGTCCTCTGTGTCGGTGTCCGGACCTCCGGATTGTCCGAGGCCGAGACCGGAAGTGAGCCCAAGGTTAGTCCCGCCAACGCTTGTTGGCCAGCCTTCAGCCTCCGGGACTGGCGCTTGTTGTCCCCCGGCGTGCTGGGAGAAGGTTCCCTCTGCCGCCTCGGGGGGGTCGTTGGGTTCGCCTGGGGCACCGTGCCCCCCGGCCTCAGCGCCTCCAGGACGGGTCCCGCTCGGCAAAGGATGGCCGCTGCGAGACCCTGCATCATCTGCTCTGGGTACCGGCTGAGGTCACTGGAGTTGAGCTTTTCCCCCCTGGGGTGAGCCCCGTGGTTGCAACGCAGATCATGCCAATGGTGAAGGGGAAGGTCCGTTGACAATGTCGTGGACTTCACAACCACCTGGCCCAGGCGGCACTCGTCAAACTTGATGAGGGAGTGGTGGAGTGCGTTCGCCCATTGAATGTAGGCCCGTGTGACCCAGATCGATGAGCACCTCGCTGCGCTCGGGCTCTTGCTGCACTCCATTGGGTCCATTGGGTGCTCCAAGAAGGAGGAGCCCACCTGCGGAACCGTTAGCTGACCTAGCCCCTTGTAGGCCAGCGAGGTCAGGTACATCTGCCGGAGCATGAGCACGCTGTCATTGTCCGTGTCCTCCATAACTCGGGGACCGGCGGTGGGCCACCCGGTTTGGGGAACCATCTGAGGATGCTCCACGTCCTGCAGTTGGGGCCGCCCCCCACCAAGGCGACCTTGCCCGCCATGGCCATGGAGCACATCGTAGAGTAGGGCTCATCTCCCAGCATGTCCTGTCCAAGGTCTCCACCCTTTCGCCTGATGTCCACCACCCAAATGTACTCCGAGAAGGCCGGGTTGTAGGCATGGAGGTAAGCATCCAGGGCCCCCGCATCATCCTTCCCAGCGTACAGCAGGATGAGGGACGGCTTTGACGACTCCGGCACCGGACGTGGCGTCCACCTCAGTCTGAGCCTCAGTCTTTCCGGGATGTCTTGCATCCATGGGAAGGTGGGGCTTGCCCCCCCTAGGATTCCGTGTGTCCTTTGTCTGACCCTCCAGTCATCTGTTTCTGGGCTTGCTGCTTGCCCTGGCGGTTCTTCCCGCCCTTGGAACGCCCCTTGCCGGGCGGATCCTCACCTCTGGGTCTCTCTGGGGGGTCTTCCCACTGCCTCGGTGGGTGGAAAGGGATGCTTCCGCCCTTCTGGAGTGCCCTGGCTGGGTCCGCTCCTCTTCCTCGGTGGAGGGGCTTCCGGGGCCGGTGGCACCCTGGAGAAGTCCCCTCCCACCTGAGGCCGTCCTGGCCTCCCCCGCTCTGTCTGCCTTCCGCTGTGGCTCTGGTGGGGCTGGCTCTCCCCCTCTGCACTCTCGCACTGGTGGCCTGTGATCCCAACTGAGACCGGGAAGCCACGGGGCCTATGGCACCCTGGGTGGCCTCCTGTCACTTGGAAAGGTGAGGGCATGCCTGTGGCGCATGCTTCGATGGGGGGGCATCACACACCCACCCATCCTTCCTGACCGGGCAGTTGTGGGAACGGCCGCACGATCCCGAACACTTGTGGAGGTGATGATCTCTGCAGTACGCCACCCCTTTGGGATTCTTGAAAGCCCAGTGGTCCGGCCATGGAACCGAGGGGGAGTTGGGGGACTTCCCCTTGCCGCCCTTGCCCTTCGGCTTGGACCTGGTCGGCCCCGAGGGCCAGGCGCCTTTCCCCCCCTTCTTCGGCTTCTCCCACTGAGTCTGCCACACCTTAGGTGCCTTGCCCTTGTTCTTCCCCTTCTCCGGCGGAGGTGCTCATAGACCTCCCGTTGCCAGAAGAGGAAGTCGCCCCTGATATTCTTGAGGGCCACGGAGAGGGTGGTGCCCTGGTGCACCATCTCGTGGATCTTCCTCCACGCGTTGCGCTCTGCAAACAGCAAGGTGGTGTCACTCGGGGGAGGCTTCCTGCCGGCGATGTCTTCCCCATAGAACCAGGCATACCAATCATCCAGCTCCTCCTTGGTGACCTTCAGGTTGCCAAACTGTGGCAGTGCTGCCGTGCACATCAGGAGCGTCGTCCTGAAGGTTAGGTGCAATCGTTCCAGCTGGCGCCGGGATGTAGGGTGGCTCCTCACCTCTTCTTCATCCTCCCTGTCCCAGCCGTCCACCGTGATCTTCTTGTGGGTGGATGAGGGGCGTTCCCCTTCTTCCGGGAGCGCGCTCACGATGTGTTTTGCCGGGATGTAGCCCAGCTCACCCTTGGCAATCATGCGCCACTGCTTCTTGAGGTAGCCATCACTCCCTTGGAACTCCAACCTCGGCTTCGGGGTCCCATGCGTGGCCACGTAAGCATCTTCCAGCTGGCGCCTGTCACACAGGACCTCCAAGGGCGCCTTTGTCGGGCCCGCCTGGCCCGCCGGGTGATCACCTTGGTTGCCCCCCCGGACCAAGTTGGCTGCCACCCGAACTGCCTGAAGGAGGCGCATCGCCGTGAAGG